GCTAGAGAGGTGTATTTCTGTGCACATATTAAGTAAAATGACAATGCATAACTTGGCATTAATTAGACAGTATTGTATTTTAACTGACAGTGAAAAGGTAAGTGTCTTCTCTAGGATAGAATTGGCAGGAGCAGGGAATGCTAGCAGGAGAATAAACAAGGAGAGTGTTGTCCTTGAGAAGCTTGTATATTAGGGAATAGGAATCAGAGTCATTGTAAACCAGGCAAGAGGGGCAAGAGGGACAGTTGTGTAGGACGGAGGCCAACGCACCATTTCTAGAGCCACATTAACCCTAGTTAAAGGAGGCCATTGAGCAGAAAACCCTAACTTTTAGGTCAACGCTACTGAAAGACCAAGAATAATATTACATTTAATTTATTTTCAAAGGAAGTGGCAGTTACATTTTCTATTTATGTCTGTCTTAAGATATCAGTTGTTACATTTACCTAGACAAAAACAGTCAGTGATTAAAGACAAATGGCATAGGCACATTTTTCCCTTAAGAGATAAAAGAGTCTTGGACTGGAGCAATGGGTATGGGGGAAAAGTCCATTCATTTCCCCAATGTATGTCCTAATGAAATATTTCCATGTGGGGCTAGTGGGGGCACAGTGGTTAAGGCACTGGACTCCCACATGGCCAAATGCAATTCAAGTTCTGGACCTAGTGGCTTAAAAATCAAACCAGGCACATGTGTGTGCATGTCCAAAATCCAGAAGAATGGTTGAGAATGGATTGTAGCATGGCCACCCCCTCTCTGGGGAGGGAGATTTCTTACTTTCCCTCTCATTTTCTCTCTCTTTCTCTTGCAAATGCACACACCCTATGGTAAAAGCCTACAAACAAAAATGAAAAATTATCCAAGGAAGCATTCCTAAAATATAAATGATGACTGCAATAGAGGAGAAAATCACCTTCTACTTCATCTTACTGATTACAGAGCTCAACCCTAAAAGCAGCTCTAAATGGCCTATGTGTTCAATACTATATATAGCTATGATGTCAAGAGACCATGAGGTCAAAGCCAGTCTTACTCGTATAAGGAACGGGTAAGGAACTGATGGCGGCCTATGCAATAGTACTCCAAAAGTAACAGGAAAGTTGCCTATTACTCAAAACAGCTCTCCTACCTACAGGCTGATTCCTGCTTCCTTTACAAAAGAGGGTTTTAGTCTTTCTAAAAAAAAGAGGGGGGGGGTTTAAATGAAAATACCTTCCGCGATATAAGGAACTAGTTCAAATTTACTTCAATGATGAACTTGATTCAATCATGTCGATAGAATATTCACTGTCAATCTAATGAGATTGCTTAATGACAGCACAGCTATCTTTGCTCAGAGAAAACTGTATATCTCACTGTCGGAAAAGCCATGTGCATATTTGCATATAAAAATAGAGAAAAATGCATCCTAATTTTTGGACAGCCCAATATATTTAAGTGTGGAGTAACATAAATACCTGGATCACTGATTTACTTGTTAAAAGAACTTATTAAAATAGATCAGGAAATGCAGCATGAGTTTTTACAACCACTTGTAACAATTTGGATATTGAGTAAGATCTAAATCACAACCTCAATACCTCAAATTAAAAATAATTTTAGAAATTACAATTCTGTTCTTTGCCATGTCTACTGCAAGGATGAAGACCATTCTCAGCAATTAGACCATCAACATTCCAGAGAATCTCGACACCACTGAAGGGACACACAGTTATTGTGAAGGGCCCCAGAGGAACCCTGCAGAAGGACTTCAATCACATCAATGTAGAGCTCAGTCTCCTTGGAAAGAAAAAGAAGAGGCTGCATGTTGACAAATGGTGGGGAAACAGAAAAGAACTGACTACGGTTCGCATTAACTGTAGTCACATGCAGAACATGATCAAGGGTGTTACACTGGGCTTCCGTTACAAGATGAGGACTGTGTATGCTCATTTCCCCATCAATGTCATTATACAGGAAAATGGGTCTCTGGAGGAGTCCGACCCGGCAAGGCCCCAGGATCTGTCTGAGCCCCCCAAACTTTGAGCTCCGTTTCTGGTCGGATCAACACGTTGGCAAGGTCACTGTTGTTCACCTCCTCCCCCCCCCACCTTGGCAC